AGCCGCGAGGACCTGATGAAGATGGTGCGGCCGCCCTACTCCTACTCGGCGCTCATCGCCATGGCCATTCAGAGCGCGCCCGAGCGCAAGCTCACGCTCAGCCACATCTACCAGTACGTGGCCGACAGCTTCCCCTTCTACCAGCGCAGCAAGGCGGGCTGGCAGAACTCCATTCGCCACAACCTGTCGCTCAACGACTGCTTCAAGAAGGTGCCCCGCGACGAGGATGACCCAGGTGAGGGCGGCTGGACAGGTGCTTCCTTCCGGGCCGGAGCGCAGGGAAGCGCGCGCGGACAGGGTGGGTGGGTGTTCACGGCGTGGCTGACTTGAGATCCATGCGGAGTCTTCTGGTTCTAACTGGGGATGAGAGCCAGTGGAGGGATACCCACTCAAACTTCGTCTGATTGGGGCGTGGAGAAACCACAGGACAAAGAAAAGTTTCAGAGGATCCTTGGAGCGAGGACCCGGGGAGGGAGAAGCTCGCCCCTCACCCCCAATTTCCAGTCTCCACTCGGAGAGGCTGGCGGGTCTGAGCCCGTGCCGCTGGAGGGGAAGTAGACTGAGAACCAGTGAGCTCTCAGATGAAAGCGACTATAAAGGGATTCGGTTGAGCTGAGAATCCCATCACGTTTCACAAAAGAGGTGGTGAGAGCCTCCCGCACCAGCACGTTTCCTGAGCCTCTGGTGTTCTTCACAAAAAAGATCCTCTGCCTACCTTTAGTGGTTCTAAAGTGGTTCTCAACCTTCCTAATGCCGCGACCCTTCAATACAGTTCCTCATGTTGTGGTGACCCCCAACCATAAAATTATTTTCGTTGCTACTTCATAACTGTAATTTTGCTACTGTTATTAATCGTAATGTAAATATCTGATATGCAGGATGTATTTTCATTGTTACAAATTGAACATAAAGCATAGTGATTAATCACAAAACAATATGTAATTATATATGTGTTTTCCGATGGTCTTAGGCGACCCCTGTGAAAGGGTCGTTCGACCCCCAAAGGGGTCGCGACCCACAGGTTGAGAACCGTTGCTTAGAGTATAAGTGGCAAAGACACGAGATGGGGCAGAGGGATCAGAGAGCTTCAGCTGAGTCCTGCAAATTGTGGTTTTCGTACTTTAAGTATTTGAAAATGCAAAAAATTAACTCTCCCCCCCCCTCCGCCCCCAATTTGCTTCTTTCTGATCTGAGCCCTGAGGTGAAGAGGGCTGGGGTACAGTGGAGTGCTGTAATTGTTTCCCTCTACCTGGGAAGTGGAGGTGGGGAAAAGCTGAAAACGAGAGAGAAACAGAATCCTACTTGAGGTTTTCAGATGGAGCCCAGGACAAGGGGAGGTATGGACAGAGTTGTGATGGAAAAAGAAAAGGAATAGAAACACTTTCAGTTGCACACTCCAGAGATTTAGAATCTTGGGTAAATTATATAAATACCCTAGAGTACTCGTACCTGAAGTCATGGGAGAGCAGTGGTTTCCAATAGAAATACAGTATAAATCACATGACTAGGTTTTCTAGTAACCACATTAATAAAAAGAAACAGGTGAATTTCATCTTAATGTGTTTTTTTTTTTATGTAAAACAAAATTTGTTTCAACCTATAACAAACATAAAAATTATTAGTGAGGTACTTCATATTACTTTTTGGTACCAAGTCTTCAGAACCCTGTGTGTCCTACCCCACATCTTGCTTCGGATTAGCCACTTATCAGATGCCCATCAGCCACGTGTGGCTGGTGATTACTGCATTGAACCAGGCGTGCAGTTCTAGATGTGCATCTTCCAACTCTGCCTCTAAAGCACCTGAGATGGTCACGTAAACTTTACATTCACTACTCAGACCTTCCAAAAGCTCAAGGATCTGTAGAGTGTCTTGTCAAAGTGCTTGGTATGAAGGTGGCACAATATAATTACCCTGATAGGTGAGGGCATTATTGAGATGGTAGTTGTGAATACATTTTTTTCTGAGACTTTTTACAGAGACTGTGTCAGTGGAGAAAATGGGTGTGAGGCGTGTGTGTTAGTTTGTGGAGGTAGTGAGGTATGCAGAGTCTAGAAGTAGTGATGGCGAACCTATGACACGCGTGTCAGAGGTGACACGCGAACTCATTTTTTTGGTTGATTTTTCTTTGTTAAATGGCATTTAAATATATAAAATAAATATCAAAAATATACATCTTTGTTTTACTATGGTTGCAAATATCAAAAAAATTTCTATATGTGACACAGCACCAGAGTTAAGTTAGGGTTTTTCAAAATGCTGACACGCCGAGCTCAAAAGGTTCGCCATCACTGGTAGAGCATTCCTGGCTCTACTGTTGTTAACTGGGAATATGGCAGGTTACTAACCAGTCTGCACCTCAGGTTTCCCATCTGAGAAATGGAGGCAATAAATTACCTATCTCCATGGAGCTGTGAGGAGTAACATAGGCTGTCCATGCAAGGCACTAAGTACAGAATAAGTGCTTAATAGTACTTTCAACACCGACAGTTGATTTTGCCAGAAGTAAAAAGAGCTTTGGGAAGATAAAATCCTCCAAGTTGATTGTGTTAGATAAATTGTGAGTGACATTTTCTAAGTAGGAGACTAGCACTGCCTGCATTAAATGGGGCCCTGATCCCTGAGATTTGCCCAGTGGAGGGAAAACCTGGAAGAGATATGGGGGCACCTCCTGCCTAGGGTGAGGGATACAGAGGCTCTAGGAGAGGCGTTCCCTTGTCCTCCAAACATGCCATCCAAGACGCTAATACAGGTGGTTGCTGAGTACTAACTGCTCTCTTTTGTTCAGCAAGGCACAGGATTGAGTATTTGAGGTTGCCTTTTTTCCAGTGGAGTATTTTTAGGGACAAGTGTTCTATACTTTCAGCAAATAGCAATGATAGCAGATACTGTTTTTGCACTGCTTACTGTGTGCTGCCGGCTACTGGGCAAAGATATCATTTAATCCTCACAGCCAACCTGTGAGGTGGGGGCTATTCTTATCCCTATTAAGTAGCACCAGGATTTTGCGAGGCCACTCCATTTGGATCTAGAAGGGAGGGTGTTGGGTAATTATAAGTGCCTTGTGAATTGAATTAGGTTTTAAAATTTAAGTAGCAGACACTGCCAGGAGGAGGTGAAGGCAGATAGAACCTCTTTGTTCCAGATTTCTCTTTGAAGGTAAATAAAATCTCCCCCATATGGATAACTCTAGACCAATGGTTCTCAACCTTCCTAATGCTGCGACCCTTTAATACAGTTCCTCATGTTGTGGTGACCCTCAACCATAAAATTATTTTCGTTGCTACTTCATAACTGTAATTTTGCTACTGTTATGAATCGTAATGTAAATATCTGATATGCAGGATGTATTTAGGCGACCCCTGTGAAAGGGTCCTCGTTCGACCCCCAAAGGGGTCACGACCCACAGGTTGAGAACCACTGCTCTAGACAGTATAGTGGACTGAGCATCTTCATCAGCGTTTAATGAAAGTCTGCCCTCCTTCTCTGGAAATAGAAGCTGAATGAGCAGGCATAAACTATCTCCTTCTCTAACACCTGTCTTTCTCATCTCCACAGGGAAAGGTAATTACTGGACCCTGGATCCAAACTGTGAGAAAATGTTTGATAACGGGAACTTCCGCCGGAAGCGAAAGCGCCGCTCTGAAGCCAGCAGCAGCTCTGCAGTGGCTGCAGGGACGTCAAAATCGGAAGAGGGTCTGTCCTCAGGATTAGGGGCTGGAGCGGGTGGGAAGCCAGAAGGAGACAGCCCCTCTGCTCTGCTGAGGCCTTCCCAGTCTCCAGAGCCTCCTGAGGGCTCCAAGAGTGTCTCCTCCCCTGGAGGGCCTGTGCTCACCTCCACCCCTTGCCTCAACACCTTCTTCAGCAGCCTCAGCACCTTGAGTGTCAGCAGCAGTGGGAGCACCCAGCGAGCTGTCGCTGGTGGCCACCCCCTAGGGATCCAGGGGGCCCACCTGCCCTCCAGCAGCACGTTTCCCGCCAGCTCCGTCTCGGAAGCCTCAGACAACTTGCAACTGAGCACCAGCAACGGCAGCAGCCAGAGATCTTCCTATTATAGCCCTTTCCCTGCCAGCACTGGTGCGGGGCAGAGCAGTCCCTTCAGCCCGCCTTTCTACAACTTCAGCATGGTCAACAGCATCATCTACCCGCGGGAGGGCTCTGAGGTATAGACTTGAAGATGCACACCTGAGATCTTGTTAAAATCCATATTCCAAGGCGGCTGATCTGGAGCAGGTTCTGCGTTTCTCTGGAGCTCCTGGCTGATCTGGTCCATTAACCACACCTGGGAGTAGCCTGGGTATAGTAGACAACTCTTTCTACAACCCAGCAAGCTTCTCCAGGTTGCTCAGGGTAGGGCCTCCCTGAAGAGATAGCCATCCCACTCTGTCCTACGATGATAGCACCTGTGAGCCCTGTGAGGACAAGGGACCACATCTGTTCCGTACATCACTGTAGATCAGGGTTACAAGCTCAAATGTGTACATGGCCAGCTAAAAAAAAGTGAATGACGTTATTGGGGAGGAAAAAGATAGCAATTGGCATTGGAAGCATCAGGGAGGAGTTGGGACTGACCCATTGAAGGCTGCTGTGGGCAGCTAATTCTTTCCTTCTGCCTGGCAGCATTCTGATTTTCCTAGAAAAGACAGATCTGTATTTTCATAGGAAACCTCCATTGGAATTCTTGGTTGCTAATTAAAGTTTAGAAAATACTGTACTGGGAAACCCCCAAAAGCCATGAGTTCCATCCAGCTCATGAGTCCCCTTTTCTCATGCTCAGCATCTGGTACATGGTAGATACTAATAGCAATAAAACTACCCAAGCAAGCCCTGTGTGCCAGCACTGCTGGACACTGCACTCATTAACCCGCACAGCCTGGGAGACAGGTGATATTACCGCCTCATTTTCATATGAGGCTGTGAAGCACCAGGATATCTGGTGGCTCACTCCAGGCCATTCAGGTACCAGCCGTGCAGCAGGGCAGGGTCAGGTCCAGGCAGTCTGGCTCCAGGGCTGGTGCTTGCAGCTTTGTGTTTCTAGTTCCTGAGGGTAGACAGTGCATAGAGAGTAGGAATGAGCTAGATCACATTTGACCAAAGATTCCAGTTGAAATAAATGTCACTTGAGATGTTCCCGTGAGCAGCACGGATGGAACCCCCCCCCCTCCATGTTACTTGTGCCACTGTATTCCTGAGGCCTGGGCTGACCATTGTCCTCATGAACCTGACATCCTGTCCCTTTTAGCATGTGTCCTGAGTTTTTCTTTAAATGAAGTATTAGAATTTTATTAAAAATAGTTTTTAAATTGAATTTTTATTTACCACAAATGGTTTTTTTTTTAAAAAAAAAAACAGTTGTGGTAAATTTTTTAAAAATATAATTTACTTTTAGCACTCCCTTTTACTTCTCAAGAGGTATTTTCATTTGAATAATTGTATGGTTAGCCTCCCAGCACCCAGCAGAGAGCCTGGTGCCTGGCAGACACCCAGTCATTGCTTGAACTTGAACTTATCCAAAAAGTATTAGTCCATTTTATTGGAACAATGTTACATTAAGACGAAGATAATGTCCTATGAATTGCCTTAGTGCCATGTTGTTGGTTTGGGGTTTTAATTTTTTTTTTTTTTTTTAAAGGAACACAAGTACATTGTTTAAAAAAATTAGCTTTCCTCTGTGTATTCTTTCTTAAAACTCACAGCATTACTCTTAAATTTTTATTTTGAAATAACTTACAGGAAACTATTTTTTAAAGTAGTTTATTGAGGTACAAGTAACATCACCATTATTTAAATATTATGAACAGGTGTACCTGGTTTTGTTGTGCTTCACAGAGGTTGCATTTTTTTACAAATTGAAGGCAAGACCCTCACCAGCAAAAAGATGACACTTGCTTTCTAAGACTGGTCTGGCACAGAAACTGCAGCATCCAAGGTTTGCCTGCAGAAAGAACCAAAGACTGCCCACCCACACTGCACAAAATCCAGTTTCAGGGGTATTATTTTATGTGAAAATCCTATGGACTTTTATAACTATTGTTTCTAACACAGTTCTATATTTGTAAAATAATTTATAATGTGAACTGAGACAAAAATTTTCCCTAGGAAAGTACACTTACATGCTGAGAATCTCGTGAAATAAACTAAGTGGGATGACTTCTGGCCATTTTTCAGCATTGCTATTTTTCTGTCTTCAGTTCCTTTCTCCTAAAAGAAGAGATGTGAGTGGCATGGCACCAACGCCACTACAGAGACTTTGTGTTGAGAGGGGAGCGACTGACCTTTGGCGTCTTTCCACCACCCCCATCTGAAAGGGCAGGGATGGAGCAGCCACTCTGGGGAGGGTCTTACAGGCATGACCATTTTATTAGAGTCACAGTTCTGTCATTTAGATTAACGTGCAATTCACTGCACCGGATGATTTCTGTTGCAGAAAGAAATGTGCTGGAAAAGTTTCATCAGCTGACAGTCGTCCTTGGGTGCAGCCCCAGGTGTTCCAGTCCTCGAGGGGGCCACAGGCAGCCCAGCATTTCCCAGGAAACTTGAAAACAGCTTCATCTGGAAAAACCTGAAATAGGCTTCTGGGCTAGGGTTTCTCAGCACCAGCATTGCTGATGTTTGGGGCTCAGTAATTTTGTTGTAGAGGTAGCCCTTTACACCACAGGGTGTCTGCAGCATCCCTGGTCCCTACCCATTAGACCCCCCTGGCCCTGGCCATGAGTGACAACCAAGAGTATCTGCAGGCATTGCCAATGGACCCTGGGGGACAAAATGAGCCCTGGTTGAGAACCACTGATGTAGGTCAACACCCACAGTTTGTCAAGGATGAAAGGAAGCCCCCTTGGTCCCCAACAGAAAGTCCTAGGTCTTGGGCTAGCAGTCAGGCCCTGAATGAGTTAGACCTCTGGGCTTGTGCAGGCAGTTTATCCTGAGATGCCCTTTCTCCTAAGGAGAATAAGTTGTGAGCAGGTGTAACCCAGTAACAGGCATTTCTCAAAGCTGGGACCGATGGTTCGCCCAGTCACATTGGAGGTAGGCTCCTTCAATATTTTAGTTGATTATAGATTTCTTATGGTAGCTTCCTTCTAGGCATCTAATTCTTTTACTAGTAGAGACCTAGGCCGGGGATAATTTTAATTAAACAGTAGTAAATGATCTGGGTTATTTAGGGGTTGTAGGGGTGGGGGGTGGGAGGACAGGACACAGGCATAGGGAGGACATGCTAAAAGAACATGATTAACCTGTATTTGGAAATATCTAGTTCTGGGTGGTTGATGACTATTAAATGCCAGAACATTGGTATCTGTGAGAACAAAGGTGAAGAGAAGAACAACTAACTGGGAAGAGCAGCAGGTGCCTCAGATTCCACTCCCAGGACTGAGGAAGCTGTGCCTCCTGCTGGGCATGGGATTAAAGGGAAGAGGACTAAGCTGCCTGTGCCTGTAATATTTTCAGGTCAAAGTCTGCACCTGCTTTCCAATTGGGAACCAGGTCAGATATATGAACCTGAGCCAAATTTCACTCTGTGGTGCTCAGAACTGCAGAGGAAAGAATGTGGACCCACGGCCCACCGTTCCGCAGCTTTCGTTCTCTGGGGTTCCTGGACTGGGGGCTGATGACGGGTTGAGGCCAATTTTGCACCTTTATAACCTAAAGCACCTGCCTTCGGCCTTCTAGAACCTCGTGTACCATTCAGAGTCAGACAGGAGCCAAGGAGAATGTGAAAACCGAATCAGCAGTGCTCAGGTTTTCTGTTTAATACTTTTGGATCCTTTCACCCCATTCTTAAACTTAATGGAAAAGGACTTTGAAAACTGTGCCTTCCCCAGCTCCTCCCCAGCCCCCAAGGGCATTCCTTGGTTCCTCCCAGGGCCAACTGGGCCAAGGTAGAGACAGGAGGAGCCTCACTGAATTTTGGAGGGAATTCTAAAAGTGTGCTCCTTCTCTCTGAGATCCCCAAATTTGGAAAGAGCCTAAATTTTGGGGGTCTAACTGTGTCTTGTTTTCTTTAGATGCTCTAGTCACTGACACCAGTGGTTGTCAATGAAAAAGCAGCCACTGTGGTTTTCTGTGCCAGCAGGGGCTGGCCAGTTCACCTCCAAAGACCTGGTGGGCCATCCAGGCCTTGCCTTTTGTTATGGAGAGCAGTCAGCTGGGGCGGATGGCTAGCACCACTAAAGAGAGGAGTTTCCAGTTAGCTTTGAAAACAAAAGAAACCAGGCAGCTACCAAATTCCTCCCATGTTTTTTATTCATGATGCCAGGGCATCACCAAAACCCTAGGAGGCCAGGAGAGCAGCCCTTTATCATTTAAACAAGGGAACATTACAATAATAATAATAACTCACTTCTTGGATGCCAGGCACTGTCCTAAAGCATGTCTATAAAATAGCTATATTAACCTCCCAAAAGTGCATTAGTAGATACTGTTTTTATTCATTTCAGCAATGAGAGCACTGAGGCCTGTGGCATGTGTGTAACCAGGCCTTAGTAAAAAATCTGAGGAAAGTGGTCAAACTAGGATTCAAAATCAGGCCGACCAATGTCAGAGCCCACCTGCCCTGTACCTTCTGTGCTGCCTCTCCATTTGGAGATGAAAAGAGAGGCACAGAGAGGTTAAATGAGATGCCCAAGGCCACACAGCTTGCTGGTTGCAGATTTGGGCCTAGCTTCAGGGCTCCTGCCTGCTATCCTCATAGTGAGGTTCTCTTCAGGCATTTCCTCTGTATGTTCTCTAGGCTTTTGTGTTTGGGGCTTCTTTTCCAGGACGCACGCAGGAAGGTAAGCAGGAGAAAAGTCACTTTTTTTTGGACCAGCAGGCAGCCAAGTCAGGGGCCCAGATCTCAGGCTCTGAAGCTGCTGAGGGAAGCCAGAGGTTGGGGACACGGACTTCCATTGGATATTTATCTATTAGCTCAGCAAATCTCTTTTGGTTATCAGACCCTGTGCTAGGCATTGAGATGATCCTTAGCAAGCCAGTGGTGGCCTAGAACAAGTATTCCCAGGCTGAAGTGATGTTCCCCCACCTGGCTGCCAGCCTGTGCTGAGGGAGCTAGGATGGTTTAATCTGGAAAAGCACCATCACTCCTTCTCTTTCCTGTGTCTGGTGTTAGGACACAGGACCTGGACCAGTGTTATTCAAAGCTGGGCTGACTGAATGACAGAGTGCTCTTAAA